CGTCAGAGTTATTCATGCCGACCGAAGTGAGTCCGTTTCCGTTTGTAAGCGTTTAATTTTTTGTTGTTCCGTTTTTTTCCCTCAGGAGTCACCGTTAAGGTTTAGGCCGCGTACAAATCTTTTCTCTAACTTCTCATTTTTGTTGTTTAGAGTTCAATTTGGCAGTGAGAGGATTTGTTTTGAAATCGCATTACCTGAACAAGGACGAGACAAGAAACTTAATGTTTGAAACAGGATAACAACGAACTTACCGTTTCGCCGTAGCCAGTGTACAATGAGTCGTCCGTTCTTCGAAAGAAAAACTGCACAGGGACGTTTATGTGTCATTGCTTATGTAGCGTGTTATTCCATAAATTATCGATCCATAAAACCATTTCAATTTCAAAGCATTTGATGTCACAAGCGGAGACAGAAAAATATGAAAAAGAAATTGTCGTGGGCACGTGAACTTTGCATAAGGCCATTATGACTTTTGCTCATGAATAGATTTTGTACCCATGAATGCGAAATGTCACAAATTTCCATTTTGGTTTCTGCAAACACCTCTCGAGACATTTATCAGCAAGTACGCCCCATAAAACGCACGGCAGTTAATTCTGAGCGATTTGCAGACGTAATACTTTATAAAAACACTGAAGGGCGATCGATCTAGCAATCATGAACTTACTGTGTTTAGTTGTGCGATCTTAAGATTAACCTCAAACCAAAGGCGATCAACTAAAATAACACGAGGGACTTTCCCTGCAAGACACAGGAGAAACAACGACTGATGCAAACCACAGTTAATGGAAGGGAATGGTTATGAAAAACGACATAATTCTTTGTCGTATGTGTTTGTTCTCTTTTTTGTTTGTTTGTTTGTTCTCGTTATTGCGACCACTTTTTATGTCTCGGTGAAACGCCCTTTCTTTTCTTTATAAGAAAGCGCCAGCCCGCTAATACGGCCAACAGCCACATTCTGAAATCCCAACATGTATAATCCTTGATAAGTTTACCCTATTCAGTATACGGCCACTCAAAGAGTTATGTTCTTCTTTCTATTGTTAATATGGTATGCACTGATTGAAATCTCTCTATTTTTTAATTATATCTGTATTCGGGATACTTTTAAAAGAACAGCTGTTTAGAAGTGCAATTGTGATATGTATGTTATAACGTGACTTAATTTAGACCAGTCATGAAATTTGACCCCACCCCGTTAATACGGCCAAGTTTTCATGATCATGACCCGTTGGTGACAATATTAACGGGGTTGCACCGTACAATAGCAAGGTATATAAGAAAATTCATATCCTCGGAATTTCTTTGCTTTCTCGTGATAATGATGACTAAGCTCGCCTGTACGTGTCACCCATTACAAAAAGAAGAGTTGATAGCTTTAATTTATGTCAACAGTGTCATGGCTAACAACGTTGTTTTGAAAGACCTGAACCATACCGCTAATCTTTGGAGACTTCTGTGCAGTGGCTCTCGAATTGGCGATATAGAATTTTCGCTTGTCTTACTCTACGAAACCGTATTTAGTTCATATCACTTCCAAAAAAAATTGAAATTCGCAGACCGTTTAAATCTGTACAGAAGTAGGGTAGATTAATTAAGCCTAGAATAGAGAACGCAACACCTTCTACAACAGACTAGTTTTTGCTTGTTACCAATAGGAAGAACTTAGTGATCTACGCCTCCTATAAATTAATATCTACTCACCAGTCTGTCTGAATTAACAGGACGAATCCAAAATCAAACCGCGTCAACAACACCAACTGTTTCAATGATAACAAAGAAGAAGTTAAGCAAGTTTTACATCGACAAGCGTTA